CTTACTGGCTTGCCTCCTGCTTCAGCTCACCTGCTTCAGCTCACTCACCTGCTTCCTACATAACCCAGGACCACTTTCCCAAGGTGGCACTACCCACAGTGAGCTAGGTTCTCCTCCATCAATTAGCAGTTAAGAAAATGTCCCACAGAAAAGCCTATGAGCCAGTCTGATAGGGGCAATTTCTCAGTCGAGAGTCCCTCATCCCAGGTATGTCAAGTTGGCAACTAAGAATAACCACAGCAAAATCTGAAAAACACCAGCAGAGACAGCCCCCTGGCTTACATATGTGGGCACGTGCATGCGCGTGCGTGCACACACACACACACACACACACACACACACCAGTGAAAATACACACACGGGTGTACACACCAAAAAGACGCACCTATCTCAATGATGATAGTGCCCTGTCATTCAGCTTATAATATTCATACTCCCTGGTCTATACTTTCTTGTCCAAGATTTCCTTTCCCAAGAACATACAGGTCACAGCTGGACATGGTGACACTGGCCTGTCCCCCAGCACTAGGGAGACTAAGGCACATCCATTATTTTAAACCTGTGAATTTTTTCTAAGTTCATTTATTGTTGGTTTTAGTTCCATGTGGTAACATCACCATGTAAAGCATCAGTGAGCTCCTATCCATCTTAAACCTTCATGGTGCATGCAGGGGGATGAGGGGTGCTGGTGTGTTGCTCTTGCAGAAGACCTGGGTTTGGTTCCCAGCACCCACATGATGGTTCACAATCATCTGTAACTCTAGTCCAGAGGATCTGATGCCCTTTCCCGGCCTCTGCCAGGATGTACAAGGCATTCAGGCAAAAGACTCATACACATAAAATATATAAATCTAAAATAATAAATCCCCCATGGATCTAGAGACCTTACACTGAACACAAGTCTAGAATTTAGACACCTGGATTTGTGTGCTTCCTTCTATGGCCATCTGGTGTATGCACCTTGGGTATACCTCGTTGTAAAGTCACCTTCTGAGCAGGCTCCTCTGGAACATCATCCTCGCAAGCTAACCAGTGTGCAGCCCAAGACAGGCACTTGTAAATGCATACATGCCTCTGTTCTAGGCTGTATGAAAGAGACCCTGATACATGATCAAGAATGAACTAAAAACATTGAAAGTACATATACGTATCATACCAAAGATACAATTGACCAAAACCAAGTCTCCTCGACAAAAAAACATGGTCACCAAACTTTTTTTTAGAAATGCTGCCACTTGAAAAAAAAATCTGGTGCAACAAGGTATAGGAAGGGCGAAGAGGTGGGTCTGGGAGGGTCTCCTGGTTGAACTGACAACCAATGAGGTGCCTGGCTCCAGTATTAATGAATACTAGACACCACCTTGTGGCCAGACATAGAAATTCAGGATTGAGCTGGGAATCAAATATTTAATTGCATTCCATAATCTACGTGTACTAGTCCAGTGAGAACAGTGTGTTACCACATTAAAACCTCCATGATTCCTAGTGCACGCACGTCTCAGAGGCTCCTAAACTCCCTGTTCATATCTGTGGAGTGATTACTCACACCTGTGTGGATTTACTCATGACAAACACCGGAGAACGGTCATTGTCATGAAAACTGGGAGCAATACGATTTTATTGTGTGACATCTCAGGGACGAAGGAAAAGCTATCGTCCAGCAACTCGGCTATATGAAGTAATCCAAGATTGGGACAGTTCAGAACATTTTCATAAAAAAAAAGAATTCAGTTTTAGAACACTATACAAATTCATCAGAATATGGTGATGAATCCTTTTATAAATTATTTTATTAGTAGATTTTATTTTCATGAGCACTTCTGGTCAAATGAGGACTTCTGGTTTTTTTTTTTTTTTTTGGTTTTTCGAGACAGGGTTTCTCTGTGGCTTTGGAGCCTGTCCTGGAACTAACTCTTGTAGACCAGGCTGGTCTCGAACTCACAGAGATCCGCCTGCCTCTGCCTCCCGAGTGCTGGGATTAAAGGCGTGCGCCACCACCGCCCGGCCCTGGTCATTTTTTAAAATCAGAATATGGGACTGGAAAGATGACTCATAAACATTGATAACTCCATTTCTAGGGATGCCAACTTTCTCTTCTAACTTCTAAGGGTACCAGGAACACAAGTGATGTAATATATACATGCTGGAAAAATATTTATACACATAAAATATATCTAAATTATACATTTTAGTCAATATACATTAGGTACCACTATAATAGCTTTGAAAAAAATGTTTTGTGCTCCCCCCGCCCATTTCTCCAGCCACCTCTATCCCGTCCATGTTCTTGTGACCTCCCTACCCCTACTCAGGACACATGGGACATGAATATGGGATAATTTTAAAATAATCATTTCTATAGCCACATGTATTTCTCTCAAGTGAAAAGCTTTTCAAAACAGGTGGTGGTACATGCCTGTAATCCCAGCACTCAGTGTATGATCGACAAGTGGCGGCCAGGATCAGCAGGTGGCAGCTGAGGAGCTGAGCTCCAAGGCCTTCCCTTGGTGGTTCTCTCTGTGAATGGGGAACACTTGGCCCTCTCTTTAGCTTGGTTCCTATCTCTCTGCCCTTCCCAGGTCACTCACAGTTCCCAGCCTCTCTGTTCTCTTCACTGGCTTCAGATGCTCTGTGAACACTGAGGTACAGCTACTTGGAGAGGGTCTGGTATCACCTCTTGTTGATCATTTTGGTGAGGGCCTTCTTGCCCTCAGGAGTGTTTCTCAGCCAGCACTATAGTCCCACCCCCCAAATCTCCATTGAATCTCAGATTCTAGCATTTCATTCCCATCTTCTTGGCCTGACTCTTAGCCATCCTTCTGGGAAGTTTCACTATGACACCAAACTACCTAAGATGCCCACCAACCCCACTCACCCTGTGACTTCCAAAGACCTTCAGCATCACCCCATAACCTGCTACCTAAGGGTCAAACTTCTTGCAAGAGCAATACTATGGTTTGGGTGTGAAATGTCTCCAACAGGCACAAGTGTTTAAACACTTAATCTTCGGTTTTCTTTGGAGGTGGCAGAATCTGTGGGAGGTGGAGCCTACCTGGAAGGGAAGTCGGGGGATTACACCAAAAGTTCCAGATGCACTCCTTTCTCATCTCTCTGTTCCGTCCCTCCCTCCCTCTCAGGAGTGAGCAAGCCCCTTTAATATTCCTCCTCTCCTCCCCTGCCGCCCCCAACACACACACACACACCTGAGTCTTGTGTTCAGTATTAGGATGACATTCTCCCCGAGGCCCTGGCACCTTAAGGTCTTCCCAGAAGAGTAGTTAACCCACTAAAAAATCACAACAGGAGATCTGAGCTGAGGAAAAAGAAAACCCTTCCTTTTAGAACTCTTTAAGGCAGGAATTATGGGTGTTCTAGAGAGGACCCCAAAGCTTTATCTTTCTCCACAAAATGTTACTACACACCGAACATGTGCTGGTACACTGCCAGCTCTCAGGAAAGCAGAGCCGAGATCTGCAGAAACTACTAGTTTCTGTGGTGAACACAGACCTACTGGAGCAGATTGCAGAGGTCCAGCCTAATGTCCCTGCACAGGAAGAGATGCAGCGTGAGCACCGGTGAGCCAGGCCCAAGCACCGAAGTCACCTCAGGCTGGGATGGCCGTCCAGGAGATAAAGAGGTTCTGCACTGCATGGAACTTCCATAGCAACCTCCTCCACTGCCATCCTGGGGAATAGGGACTAAAGTGTGTCAATAAGAAAGTCCCTTATCTTGCCTTTTGGTGGTAGGGACTGAAGCCAGAATCTCCCATACGTTAACACTCTGCCACTCAGCCTAACTTAGTCCCCTTTAAACATTAAAAATTATTTTACAATTATTTCCCATTATGTGTATTACACGTAAGTGCCAAAATCAATGGAGGTCAGAAGCATTAGACTCCCTGAAGCTAGGGTTGTCAGTCACCCATAGTGTTGGGAACTGAACCCAGGTCCTCACCAAGAATAGGCACTTTAGCTGGCCTTGAGTTTGTCAGCTCCTGGCTCCCAGGTAGCTGGGATGACAGGCCTGGCTGTCTTTGCAGTATGGGTTTCAGGGTCTTTGAGGGTAGGACATCTTTCACATCCGTCCTACAGCTCCAGCGTGGATTATGTTATCAGCAGTTACCACATATTTGCTGGCTCAGTTTATCCAGGCACGGAGAAGAATGGGTTGAACCCACTCCACCACACCCCGTATCAAAACACACCAGCTACGAGCCATGAGGTAATTTTGAGGAGTGCAGAGTTGGCTGTGGGCAAAGACAGAAAGTTGCTACCCACGCATTTTGCCCAGCACCTTTGCCCACCTGGCACCCGTGTCCACGGCTGGACCCCAGGCTCAGCCTCCATTCTAACGTTATACCTTTGGTAGGGACTCAGCAGTCGTACTGACCTTGACTCTGCGGGCAGCATCCAGGGTTCTCAAAGCAAACATTTTCCTTTCAGGCTTCTTCGCTTGCTCCTCTTGGGAAAGTTCCACTCTCTGGCTTTGGCTGTGGTTTGGGAGTGTGGACTCTGGCCAATTGGGGGCTTTTTCTGAAAGAGGTTCCCAGCTGACTCTCCACGGAGGTGTACGCAGAGAAAAGTCATGGTCCTCCAGGTGTTCAACGTATGCAAGAGGGGCTGGAGAGATGGCCGGGCAGTTAGGAGGGAGCACTGGCTATTCTTCAAGAGGACTCAGGTTCAACTCCCAGCACCCACATGGCCAACTCACAATTGTCTAAAACTCAAGTTCCAGGGCACTCAACACCCTCAAACAAATATATGTGCAGGCAAAACACCAATGCACATAAATTTAAAAAAAAAAAGGAAAAAGAAAAAAGGCAGACCTCCAGCTAATGTGATCTATGTACAGGAGAACCCTCTGTTATGGTGATGTACAGGGGCGCCCTCTGCTGAAAAAGTGGTGATCTGCAGTCAATTGGGCTAGTTCCCGGTCTAGCAGTCTCCTCTACGACCACTCTCCCGCCCCTGTGTTCACAAAGAGTCCACGACGCTTTCCAGAACAATGCTTTATTTTCTCCAGCTCCAGTGTTACAACGGTAGCAGCACAGCAGACACCCCCACATGGGAACACACTGCAGCTCCCCGTGCTCAGAAGTCACAAGGCGAAAACAATCTTGACCACAGGCATTTTAAAGACATTCAGAGAATAACACTGGGCCACTCTTATCCCACAGTGTGGGACTGGCGGCAGCACATCTGTTCTTTACAGACACAATTACCCATAAATAAAGTTAAATAGAACCTTACTGGCATAGCAGTGTGTTGGGAGATACAGCCTTGGGGTGACATTCGGAGGAGGATGGCTGTAAGACATGGTGGGGGGGGGGCACACACACAAGCACACATAAAAGTAATTATAGTTATTCCAATTAAAAAAATAGTCATGAATTAAAAACATTCCCATTTTTAAAGATCAGTGTTTTACTCTATAATAAATTAACACTCATCTATTAAGTGGCTGACTGTCATGAGGCCTGATCATGAGAACACACACACAGCTAAAGTGTTAACAGCGCACCAGGTCACATGGTCCATCCTCGGGAGTCACTCCAAAGATGCCGATAACTCTATTAACCTGGCCACTGGACAGGGGAAGCATTTTCCTATTTAGATCTTTGCGATGTCAAAAATCACAATACACAGGCCATTAATGCGCCCGGCGCACGGACAATGCCAACCCTGGAGCAAAGGGTGAGAGGGGACAACGTAACCCCTAGAGGAGTGAGAAACACGTTTGTTTAGGGTTTCACAACTTTTAACCACCTTTCACTTGCTCAACCTGTGATGGCTCGGGTGGGCAGGGCTGGTTAAAAAGCTGTCTCCCTGTGAATCTGCCCATCACTACAGGGAGGCGACAGTGAGGACTTAAGCCCACACAGAGTTGCTAAGTTTGGGTCTTACTTCTCCATCTTACATGGCCCTGGCCACAGAGGCTATTCCAGAAGAAGGTAGCTGTAAAGAAAACCCAACAGGAATATTGTTTTTGCAGCAGGATTCGTCACCAGATGGACCACAGGGTGTGGTAGGAATGTTTCAGACTTGACTTCAATTTTACTCTAGACTCTATGTTTTGATTCCCCCTTCCATTTATATTTAACACTACTCAACACTCGCAGGGGGACAGCAGAAACATGATCAGTGATAAAAGGGCACCAGTTAGCCTCAGACACCAGCAAGCACAGAAACCTGTCACCCTGTGGTATGACAGCTCAGCAGCCAGCCACCAAGCCCTCATGGAGAACTTGTAAGTACTCGAGGTGGTTCTCTCCTCCTTCTGATCAGAAAAAAAGAAGACAGCTGACCATCATCTAACTTCTCAGTTAGTGGACAAAATCAAAACCTGTGCCCAAGGGCACTGGGTGATGTGTGGCCCCAAGACGAAAAGTCTCCAAGTTCAAGCTGAATTTTTCCCAAGCAGTGGCACCTAGCCACAGGAACTTAAGGTTCATGCTTCCCCAGTGAGAAGGAGCATGCTAGCCATGGCTTCCAAACGAGACCAGGGCCAAGGAAGTCAAAACACCAGTGTGTCCCCTGCTCGTTCATAGACAAGCTGGAAGAGGGACATTGAGACCATTCTGTCCTCTCCTGAGAGTGACAGACTAGAAGACACAGGCTTGTGTGTTCTCTCAGAGATGATCGACCAGAGCAGAGAGGACATAGGCTCTCAAGTGACACAGGAGGAGCCAAGGCCGCTGAGCGGCTCTGGAGAGGCAGAGAGAGAGGGTCCTAGCAGGCTCCAGCAGTGCAGTCCAGGCTGGAAGGCCGGCCTCAGTGCTGTGAGAGGCTGTGATGTACCGGTAAGACCCGAGGCTACAACAGGGCAGGGGACAGATGAGTGCCAGAAATAGTCCAGATGGGATTTTCAAAAATCCCTAGACTGCAGGGGAACTGGGTTAAGAGGTGACTTTGATAAAAACACATGACGACCCAATTAGCTGAAGTGCCTGAGACTGAGGTCGCTACAGAAATCGGTCCTAAGACCAAGGCGGGAGTCGGCCCACTAATTTGCTAGGCAAATGATGGCGAATCCAATGCTAAGTGCTGATCGGGGGGGGGGCACACGCTCACATCACTCTTGGGAAAGGTGAAGGCCAGACATTCTTATGCTCCTGGGCCCACTACCCTACAGAGTGGACAACCAGCATGCTTAGTACTGTACAGCTGTGTCCACAGACGGAGGCAAATGCTCCAGGGCCATAGCTTTGGTCCTGAAAATTTTAGGAAAGACAGAAAGGCACACACAGGTGACTTTTTGTTGTTTGTTTAAAAAGAATTAAAAAAAAAAAAAGCTCCAAGTGATAGATCATTATTTTGACTTGTTTTCAACGTACCTTTTTCCCCCATGAAAAGAGAAAATTCAAAATATAAACTTTGTATTTATTATTTTTACATTCAAGTTAAACTCCCTTGGGAGAGGTGCCGCACACAACTCCAGGCCACAGCAGCCATTTATTACTTTGGTGCCTTTTTTCCTGTTTTGTTTTGTTCTGTTTTACTTCTTATGATGGAAGAATTCAACCCTCTTATTAAAAAAAAAAAAAAAAAACAGGTATATCATCCCAACTCTAATACTATTTATGGACACACACACAAGCACACACAATTTCAAAAATCTCTATGTAGAAAAATAAAGGATAAACATTATCCACCTATTTTAGACTGGGTAATGGTCCTTTTATGTATATGAACTCTTCTTACTGGGTCATTGCTCTCCTCTGCGGCGTTGATCGAAAGATCTAGGGAGGAGGCCACAGGGATGCAGAAAGGCTACATTCCTCTCGAGGAAGGAGGAGAAAAAGCAACTTCTCACTCTCCTTCCCAAGTTTTCCCCACCTACCACCACCCGGGGTGTCCCCACAGCCAGCCTTCTGAGCAGTGGAGGCTGGTCCTTCCCTTCCTAGGGCACCAGGGAATGAAGGGCCCGGCGCAAGCACCCTGTAGGACAGGGCCTGGGTGTGAAGACAAGGGGATGAGGCAGGAACAAAAGATGCTGGAACCACTTCCCACTGCCCGTTCCTTTAGTACAGAGTTCGATTCTCCAGCTGCCGCTTCGTAAGGAAATACTTGAAGAACTCATAGACGGACCAGGAGATGGCGGTGGAAGGCATCTGATAGATGACCCGTGCATAGAGACCTTTGAAATAGCCAGTGAGGCCGTTGAGCTGGTATACCATCCTGAAGGCGTTGGCCATGCCCGACAGCCGGCCATTGACATTGGCCAGGGAGAGCGCCATGTTCTCTTGCGTGTTGAGGAGGGTCTTGCAGACATCCAGCGGGGTGGTGGCAGCTGCAGCCAGTGCACCGGCCAGGCCTCCTGAGATGATGTGAGACTGGGGGTTGTAGTTCCGGAGAGGGTTGACCTGCTCCTGCAGGAACTCGTAGGTGATGAAGTGGATGGACTGGAAGGGGATGTTCATGGTCAGCTGGGTGGTATAACTCCTGTAGAAGGCCCCCAACCCCTCGGTCCGCCACACCGTCCGGATACAACTGAGGGCTGATCGGTGCTGCGAGTTGTACATCTGTAAACGCTGTTTCACCACTGTGTCCGGGCCGGGAGGCGCAACCGACAGGCAGGTCGTTGGTTTGGCCCTCCCATCCCAGATGGGAGTGGAATGGGGAGCCAACCAATAAAGAGAAACAGCATGTTAGAACACACACTGGTGACAGGGACCAAGACAGCACACACACAGCCCCAGCCAAGAAGCCATGGAGGGCCAGCTCCAGGCAACCTGCCTCAACTTCATTTCATTGCTACCTCCGGGACCCCGTGCCAGGAAAGTGCGTACATCTAAAGAATTTCCTGTCTGACGTTCGAATGAGAGGTCACCCCCAAATCAGGCATTCACTTGAGGTTCAATCAGACAACCTGATCCCCAGGTCCTAGCCGCCTACACATTGGCCACGAATATCTCCATCTCCCTGACCTGTCTTTGGCCCATCTGTTAAGAGTGTCCCTGAGCTGAGCCTGCTGGCACATGCCTTTAATTCCAGCACTTAGGGGGAACAAAACAGGTGGCTCTCTATGAGCTCAAGGCCAGCCAGGACTACATAGTGAGATCTTGTCTCAAAACAAAAGTATCCCTGACTTCTCTGATTCTAATCTGTATCAGAGTTCACCTGGGACAACACTAGAATTATATCTGTCCAAGCTGAGTGGCATCCCCTAGTGCAGATCCTGGCTTTAAGACAAAATAAACAATGGTTCATAGGACCAGAGAAAATGAAGTGCGTTCCCTAGAGTCTGGACGGCACCTACACACGGCCTAGAGCATCCTCATGATGCGGTCCATCTTTAAACAGGGACCCAACTGAGTCAAGAGTAAAGCCAAGTGGGCAAGGGAGATGAGCTTCGTGCACGCGCACGCACGTGTGTGTGTGTGTGTGTGTGTGTATGTGTGTGTGTGTGTGTGTGTATGTGTGTGTGTGTATGTGTGTGTGTGTGTGTGTGTAGAGATGGTTCAAGTTAAGAGCACTTGCTGCTCTTCCAGAGAACTCACATTTGATCCCTAGCACCAACAAAGAGGCTCCCAACTGTCTGTAACTTCAGTTCCAGGGGATACCATACCCTTTTCTGGGTACACATAAATACATGCAAACAAAACACCCACAGACATAATTATTTCTTTAAAAAATACAAACATCCAGGTGTAGTAGCATTTACTTAGAATGAATCCCAGAAACCTGGAGGCTGGGATAGGGGGATAGAGATTTCAAGACCAGCCTGGGTTACAAAAACAAACAAAAGTACTGTTTAAGTAAACTCTGCTTACTTAACCTTGACCATGTGACTGTCGTTGTCAGGTCCCTGTAGGAGCAGCTTTTTAAAAAAAGAACAAATCCCAAGATAGATACAGCTAGTCAGTCCCTCTACACCATGATTCTGTATCCACAGATTTAATGGCCACATATTAATTTTAGAGGTACATAGGGGGAATAATTCTATATATTCACTTTTTCTTAAAATGTTCTATAATCATTACAAATCAAGGGTGGTGGTGATGTATATATGCCAGTAATCCCAGTGCTCAAAAGGCTAAGGCAGAAAGGTTTGGAGTTTGGGCAAGCCTGGGTTTCAGGGGAGTTCCGGGGCATCCTGGTTTGTACGATGAGATTCTGTATTGAAGTGGGTGGGTGATGCAACCCACAGTGAATGAGATAGAAACAATTCCCCTACATCTGTGATTGGAAAGAACGAACAGTGTCTGATGTGTATATGTGCTTATTGATCACGCCCTTAAACACGCAAAGTGTCCAACGTGTATATGTGTTTACTGAGCATGCCCTTGAACACATTGGTTGTGCTGTACTGAAAACCACGCAAAGCATCCCCAAGGATTCTGCCCCAGTGGGCCTGGGGCAGGGCCTGAAGAGTAGTTTCTAACTTCTCCTAGGATGCTGCCAAGTAGGCAGACAGCTCTGCTTAGCTGTTTCCATGGCAGGAAGTGCTTAGAACCCCAGGGCTCCCTGGCTTTCCTGAGACCTCCCAGTAATGTATAAAGAATGCAATCTTCCTGCAGGCCAATGAAGTGAGCCCCTGCCCACCTTCCTGCCCCCAGCTCCTCCGGCCTCTCCACCTGTCCCCCACTGTCCCGCCCTGGAGCCGTGGAACATTACCTTCTGCTGGATTCATTACTGCATCGTGGAGTAGGGTGGCCATACTCCCAGCTATCCCTGCAAAACAAACTCCAGAAAATCAACTGCTGACTCCAGGTGCCCCGGAAAGTTCCTTGAACTTACGGTCAGATGAACTTAGCTTTCTAAGGCTCAAAACTGATTAGCGAGAGGCTCAGCCCGAGGTGAGCAAACTTTAAAACCCCAAAGCGGAGGTAGGAATGCTGAGTTACACCAAGGACCAGGGCGTCTGTTCTACACATCTCGAAGACCTTTCCTTTCCTTGTAAGTCAACCGTGGGAAAGGTTGGAGCCCAGAAACCACACTTTGCCTAGACTTTGATTCTCTTGTCTTGAGCCTTTCAGTACAGAGAAATCTCTGAGGCTACTGATGGGGATAGCATCACGCATATGACTGGCTGCCTTAACTGAAGTCCAAGCACGCTTAGGACTGGACCTGTGAGTGATCTTCATCTAAGGTCTCTCCCGGCCTGGCTTTGAAAGCCTGAACCAGCCCTGCAATTTCTGCTTCTGGCTTCCTAGTGCCTCCCGCTGCCGCGCAGCTGCCTGTCAGTTACAATGACCAGGAAGGCACCTAGCGGCTCCTGCCGACTGCACACACAGACCCCAGAAAGGGGCCAGTGACCATAGGATCTGGCACGCTGCTACAGGGATAGCACTGGGCAGACAGTCTCCTTCAAAGAGCTGAGCCATTACGGAAGGCGGTTTGGGCCTGTAAGTACCGCCTCAGAGACGCACGAGGGCGTGGCGCTTGGTCATGATCAGCAGCTGAAAAGCCAAGTCATCAAAGTAGCCAAGGATGCTTGTTTCTAAGGGTGGCTGATGGAAGGGACGCTATTCTGTTCTGGCGAGCTTTACTGAGGGTCACATCCATTCCTCCAATGCCTCAAAATGTATGATGTCAAAGTAAACATACCTTATGTTGCCTGCTATCCACAGTCCTGTCTCACCCACTGAAAAGCCCATTAAAGTCCCGCCCCACGTACCACCTGACCTGGCCCATTGGTTCCTGACTCACATATGAGTTACCCACAGACGCCCAGTTCCCAGCCACCCTCTCCCCTCCCCCAGATCAACCACAGGAAACTAGTTCGGCCCTGGCTTGCAGAAAGATGCGACTCAGACACACGGAGGAGGCTGGGGGGGTCAAAGGCCCGAATCTCCTGCAGCTTAAAGCGGGGAAGGCCTTCTGCTGTGGACAAGTCCTCTGTCAGCATAAACCGTCTTGACCTTTCCAAACTTAGTTAGATCCTGGGGCTGGAGAGACCTGTTGGACCAGTTTTTAAATAGTCTCAAAGAAGCTGTCCTTTTCTGTGTTGTTTGTTTGGTTTGCAATCCAGCATTCAAAAGATTTTTTTTCCTATGACTGATCATTAATTGTTTTGAGTGGTTTTTGTAAGAAAAAAAAAAAGCCCACACAACAATAAATACCAAAACACCTCTACCACCAGCTTCCCCCAGAGAAAGAGGGAATGAATAAAACATGTGTACGAGTGCGTGTGTATGTGTGTGCGCGCACGCGCGTGTGCAATCACGTGACCCTAGAGTTCTCTGTTCCTGAGCAAGCTGCCGAAGAGACGAAGGCTGCTGGGTCCTGGGGAGGAAGAAGACCCAGGGAGCAAACATTGAAGAGAAGAGCTTCCTAGCTGCACACAAACGCTTTCAAAATACCATTAGCGAGGTGGCTGTTTCCTTGGTGGCTGAAAACGTCATTTAAAGTCCTTTTCATGTTTTCGTAGCAGGCAAAATACATGGCATGTGCGGGCCCTGCGCCCGTCATCATCACGTTCAGGCCCCGCAGGGGCCTCCAGAAGCCTTCCGTTTGTATGATCTTCTTGAGGGCGCCATAGATGCTTGTATACTGGGCTCTGGGATCTGGATGCAAACTCTGCATTCGTGTCTGCGGGAGACAGAAAGTCGGTATGAACAGGAGAGCTAATATGGACAGACGCTTATCCCCAGTCTCTGTGGGGGACTTGACCCTGGAGTCCCCCACTAAGGACACCAACATTCATGAATGTTTAACCTTGTGTAAAATGCTACGGTGCTTTCGGCCTACGCGCCTGTCCCCAGATGATAGATAATGTAATAAAGATGCTATATGAAGGCTGTGGGATGTGGCTCCACTGGGAGAATGCTTGCCTGTCGTGCACAAGGCCATATGAGTTGAGTCCCAGCACCATAAATATAAACCATGCACGGTGGGCATGCCTGCAATCTTAGCACCCCGGAGACAGGAGAAGAATCAGGACTTCAAGGTCATACTCGTCTACAGCAAGGCCAAGGCCAGCTTCGGTTACACTTGTCTCCACGAAACCAAACAACCAACCAACAGTTAAAAAACCCACCAACAAAAGTTGCCGCCACCACCAAAAGAAGTGCTATAGGAAGTTATCAGAGTGCCCTGTTCAGGCACTAAAGACACGATCTAACGGTCTGCATGTGTTTAATACGGGGGTGCACCTTTTTCTGACTTAGGATGCACAGTCTGGAGAAAACCAACTGAGTTATCTGCATCCTTCTGATCTACTTTGGTTCCCAGCATCCTCTATTCTACTCTGCTTCCCCGCATCCTCTGGTCTACTCTGGTTCCCAAGTCTTGTGTACCCTTCTACCCCCAAACCTCTGTGTCCTGTCCATTTTTCCTCAGGCCCTACCAGGAAATCTCCCCAGACCCCTGGGCCTCACTCACGCTGTCACCGCTAAGTGACACTGTGTTTTTATGAAGCAACCCTCAGTAAGTTAGGCTTCGCTCTGACCAGTTCCTAAGCACAGAAAGGCAAGTGTGCATGAGGAGAGGCCATGGCCTCTCCAGCTCTGTTTGCCTCAAAACTCCCACAGGTATGAAAGGCATGTGAGGAGAGAGGGGTTAATTTCATTATTTCAACCTGGAGAGGCTGAGATGCACAAATTACCTGATCAAACATCAGCATGCTCCAAACAGTTCTCTAAGATTTGTTTTGCTTTGTTTAGATAAGGCTAACAAAGTCAGTCGTTCCTGACTTTGTGTGACTTTGGTAGCTGTCCACCCTGCTGACCTGCAGGATGCAGCCCCGACGGTGCTGTGAGCCAGTTCCTTAAAACAAATCCCATGCCGGGCAGTGGTGGCGCACGCCTTTAATCCCAGCACTCAGGAGGCAGAGGCAGGCGGATCTCTGTGAGTTCGAGACCAGCCTGGTCTACAAGAGCTAGTTCCAGGACAGGCTCCAAAACCACAGAGAAACCCTGTCTCAAAAAAACAAAAACAAAAACAAACAAACCAAAAAAAAAAAAAAAACAAATCCCTCGGCCTCATTCTCTATTTGAAAAGATCTGAAATCACTCAAAGTTTCAAGCAAATGAGGTCTTGTCTTTCACCAGGCTGTGTCTCCTGTGGCTGTCAGAACGCCAAAATCTCAGCCCGACAGATGGCGCGATGCCTTGTTTGCGGCCCTGGGCCTTGGCAGCGTGGGGCTGGAGCGGATTCAGATCTTATGTATGGCTCTTGATGCAACCCTGGTCAGCCAGTTCATCTCTCTAAGCGTGAGTTCATTCCCTGGGAGGATGTCGGGGAGGTGGAGGGGGGTGATGATATGGCATTGTGTCTATTTCCATTTCTGTAGTTGGTGATAAAGGAGTCATGGGTGTAAGGGTCTCAGTAACTCTGTCTATTAAATGTAAACAAGAGAGCTGAAAGTCTCTGTCTCATGGGCCAGAAGTGGAGAAAAGGTGGGTAAAAGGAACCCAAAAGAACGAGGGTTTACTCGACTGAAGAATAGATAAGGAAAATGTGGTACATCTACACAATGGAGTACTACACAACAAGGAAAAATAACGACATCTTGAAATTCGCAGGCAAAAGGACGGAACAAGAAAACATCATATTGAGTGAGGAAACACAGACCCAGAAAGACAATTATCACATGGACTCACCCATAAGTGGCTTTTAGGAATAAAGCAAAGAAAAATCAGCCTATAAATCATAATCCCAGAGATCCTAGACAACCAAGAGGACCCTAAGAAAGATATACATGAATCTAATCTACATGGGAAGCAGAAAAAGCCAAGATCTCCTGAGTAAATTGGGAGCATGGGGATCATGGGAGAGGGTTGAAGGGGAGGGGAGAGGCAGGGAGGGGAGCAGAGAAAAATATATAGCTCAATAAAAACATTTTTTTTTAAAAAAAAGGACTTTAACAAGAGAAAACTTATTTTTTTACTATGTATTTTACTAGAATTCATTAAATGGCATACTGTATGTTATGTATTGCACTGGATGTAAAATAACTCTTACCAACAATGTATAAACAATAGTGAACTCCAGTTTCAATAATAAGTCTGATGACATACAGAAAGGTAAATATGTCGGTATCTACAACATTGAAATGAGGCAAAAGTAAAATGAGTTTCTGGGTTTGAAGGCACATGGGGAAAAGATACTATTTCATGGTTGGTTTATCACAAAACCAGTATTTGTCAGAAGTTGAAGCACATTAATAATCAATGTGTTGTTCACTGTTGATAAAGACAAGACATACCGATATTTAAAATATTAACATTTAAAAAAGAATGAGGGTTAGCGAAAAATGTAGCTATCCACTTCCCAGAGTACTGCACTGACAGGCGGGACCCACCACAGTCAGATCCACACAGCCACAGCTGGGGGGTGGGGCAGGGGCTGAGGGTGGATGATGGAGACATGTTTAGTGGGCACAGGAGTTTGACTCTGCAATAGGAAGAGTTCTGTAGGTTGACAGTGGCGATGGCTACAGCACAACATGAATCTGGGAGATGATGCTGAGCTGTGTAGGTACTTAACAATGGTGAGGATAGCAACATGTATGAAAGGTGCGTGTGTACATATGTGTGCGTGTGTACGTGTGTGCATATGTGTGTGCGCGCGTCTGTACAAGTGTGTGTGTGTGTGTGTGTGTGTGGTGCGTGTGTGTGTGTCTGAAATGTAACCTACTGTTCTCCACCTATTCCTCTGAGACAGGGTCTCTTCCTGAACCTGGAAGCCGGGGTCATAGACCTGCATAGGATGACTGCCTTGCTATGTGGATGCTGGAATCCAAATTCTAGACATGCTTGCAAGGCAAGTACTAGCTCTCTGGCTCCAGCTTGAAAATGGCATATATGTGTGCATATATGTAATATGCATATTACATGTGCATTATGGTATATAATATATACAATCTATATGTTATATATAACTACAATTTTTAAAAATAAAAAGACATGAGAAAAGTGAAGGAAATGAACAAATGTGGCTACGCAAAGATGCAGAAAACACACGCTCGCACGCACACGCACCAGAGAAAGGATCTGACGGAGTTTCATCTTCATCATTTTACATTCATTTGTGTGTATGTGTGTATGTATGTGAGCACGCATGTGCCACGGTGCACATGTGAAGGTAAGAGCAAACCTTTAGGGATGAATTCTGTCCTTCTACCACATGGGTAAGGGGGCTCAAACTCAGGCCACAAGGCTCTGCAGCAAGTGCCTTTCTCCAGCAAGGCTCCCCAGCCCATCGGGACTTCAGGACCTGCATTGGACCTAGCTGCCTTTCCTTACACTCAGTTTCCATGTTTGGGCTGTAACTCCTACCTCTTAGAAAATCTATTCCACACATCAGCATGCGGTAGGCTCTGGGAAACCCTTCAGGAAAGAAACCTGTTTAGCTCGTTTTAACCAGGCACTTCCTAAACATGTGTCTTTGGCAGCACTAGCGGCTTTTCTCATTTAATAAGCAGTCACACTTGGCCAAGCACACTTGTGAAAACACAGCTGGAGCCAACAGACAAACCTCTGAGGCAGGAAATACAGGGAGTCTGTATGTGTCAAGAGACCCTGGGGCAGCCCCTCTAAAGGAAAGACAGAGGACAGGATGGTCAGCAGGGAGCAGTCAGGAGTAGCCAACAGCAGGTGCGCAGCCTCTTCTGCTTCTGAGCTTCCCCCGGTCTTCTTCTGCACTACCGCCACCCACTCTCAAGGGGTCAGCAAAGAGCAAAGTGCTCTGGGACTCAGCCTAGCTCTGTCACTCATGAGTGTGGCACTCATTCAGGCCCCCTTGGGCACCAGGCACTTGCGTTATAGGAGGGATTTCAGGCAACGACACATGCATAGGCCAGGCTCCTTCTATAAGCATCCAGAGAGACTAGGAGAGGGGTCATCTCTTTCTCATACCTTCCCCAGGACAAGACAGGTAGCCTGTTCTCTTACCTAGGGGAGGCGGGGAGAGGGGAGGAGGGAGAGTGGAAAATGTGTGTGCTGTCCCAGGCGAGCTCGTGGATCATATAACCAGAGGCAACGAGCCCGTGGAGCTCAGCCCTGTCTTTAGATAGAAAACATAGGACCCCAGAAGCACCTGCCCCACCACCTGACACAAGGGGGTATGGAAGCTGGGTCCAGCCCAAAAGAACAAAAGAAAACCTGGAAGGGAGGCCCCGGAGCTGCCAAGAGCGCTTGCTCGGGGCGCTGCCCAGCCCAGGCACCAGTGTGTCATCACCAAAGCCGCTGGCGACTTTCAATCTCCCATCTCACGTTTCTCAAAAGAGGGTGGGGAGCGGACCTTCCCGGGTTCAAAGTACATGTGGCATTTCCAGGGTCAGAAGATAACGTGAAAGCCAAGAACCACGGGGATCCAGCCAGGGTACGGGCTCCAAGGCCCTGGTGTGAATATGCACGCGCACGTGCACACACACGCGCACACACACACACACACACAAACACACGCTCGGCTCATGCGCTCCACTGAGTTCCCGCCACACTGGGAGCCGAGGCTGCCTTGCAGACACACAAGGCCATCTTCCACCAACAGCCATCCACAACACAGAGGATGGGGCCTAGGAGTTCATTCCCAAGTAGAGACCTCCTCATGACTCACCCCACCGTGGATCACAGCCCAAGGCCAGCAGG